GAATATGTACATTGTTTTAAGATTAACAACTCACTAAATATCAATTACATTGGTCATCCTTTTAAATGTAGAAAAAAAACTTCACAAAAAGAAGCAAGAAAATGTCAATCACAAAGAGAAGCCTATAATTTGCGCCTTCACTTTTCTACTTGTCCCTCTTTGTTTGGCCTTTGAGATGAACTTCAAAACTTTTGAACCTACTTGATTTAGGAGAGTCCCCAACCAACATATAAGGCTCAATTATTTTCTTCTTTGACGAATTTTCTTTTGCCTTCACCATTTCTTCTCACCTACATGTTCAAATAACAGAAAAAAGGATGACAGAAACTACTGAATTTTTTTCTCTGAAGTGCTGAGTGCACATGACATTATTAAAAAATAAAGCATTACTACTGAAAACACATAACTTTTGAGAAAATAGATTAGCATCACTATTAAAAATCCCCATCACAAGTATTGAAAAATATACATGAATGCTTGAAAAATAGAACATCACTACTAAAACCCCATAACATAAGTTTGGAAAATATAGAGCATCACTACCAGAAATCCATAGCATGAGTATTAAAAATTGCGCATAACATATAAGTACTTAAATATAGAATATCACTACTGAGAACATATAGCATAACTAATGAATTTTATTTAACAACCTGCCTAAATAAAATATAGCATACCCATTGAATTTAACCACTCACGCAAAAAGGAGAAAAAAAAAAAGCCAATAAGGGCAGCGAAATTCAGAAAGTTAATAAAAGGAAGAATGACAATTAAGTTCCAATGGAACCAATTAATTTAGGTTAAGTTCCAATCAATTTTAGAGTGCCAACAAAGTCTCTTGATCTTTCTCCAGAAATTTACAAGCTTGACTCTCAATTTGACAACTTTGTTGTAATGCATTTACATCTTGTTTTCCAAATTTTAATAGGATTGTAAGAATAAATAATAGACTTAATATTTTTCAACATTAAATTTGAACATTTGTGTTTCCTATTAAAATTTGAAAAACAAGTTACAAATTCATTACAATGAAATTACAAAATTGGGAACCTAACTGGAAAATCCTTGGAGCTATTAGACTTAATACTTTTTAATATTAAACGTGAACATTTGTGTTTTTTTGTTAAAATTAGGAAAACAAGTTACAAATGTATCACAATAAAGTTGCAAAATAAGGAGTTGAACTTGCAAATTCTTGAAACTAGTAGACTTAATATTTCTCAACATTGAATATGAACATTTGTATTTCTTATTAAAATTTAAAAAATAAGTTACAAATATATCATAATGAAGTTATAAAATTGAGAGTTAAACTTGCAAAGCTTTGAAAATCTCTGTTAAACTTATTATCATTAAAGGATTAGGAAACTTTAACGCATTCTGAAATTAGTTGGGGCTTAACTTAAATTAATTGATTCCCTTAGGACTTAGTTGTTATTCTCGCTTAATAAAAACCCATTAATTTTAAATACATGATATATAGAGAGCATATAAGCTAAATGTGAATAATAAAAGAAAGTAGAACACCACAAAATACCAAAAGAATGAAGGAAAACCGGCAAAATAGCATAGAGAAGTTTGGAAGCAAGTCAAGTAACCTTGGAGAGAAGTTCCCTGCCAAGTCTTGGGGGCTTTATCAGCATGTCTCCTGGATGGGGTTCCCTTTGAGATTTTGCTTTCTGCATTATATTATCTCCCATTCTAGAAAGGTCATTGCAAAGTCATGACTATAATGCATGAAAGGTATTTCCCAAGCTGTTGAAATGTGCCATTGGAGTAATTGAATAAATGTTAGATCCATTCGGAAGATTTCAACAAAGTCTTTATAATGCTGAAGATGTCAAACCAGATTATTTATTCATTTAAAGTGAGGGGCATTTTAGTCAAAATGAGTTATATTTAGTTGCAAATACAGACCATGATTCTTAAATGAAATTTTAAGAGTAAATTAATTATTGGGTCCTTGTAATTTGACTTAGTTTCTTGAACTTTGATTCATTATTTTATTACAACTCGATCCCTGAAATTTTGACTTAGTTGTAAATCAGTATCTAAACTTTGCTTTTATAATTTAGTCCTTGAAGTTTTAACCTCTTAAATATTAGTCCTTATATTTTTAAAATAAAATTATAAAAGATTAAAAATATTTTAAAATTTATTACTAAAATTTTAAATTATTAAACCCTTTTAATCTTTATATATATTAAAAGGGTTTAATAATTTAAAATATTAGTAATAAATTTTAAAATATTTTTAATATTTATAATTTAATTTTTTTAAAATATATGGACTAATATTTCAAAGGTTAAAACTTCAAAGACTAAAATTATAAGAGGCAAAGTTTAGGAACTGATTTATAATCAAGCTAAAACTTCAGAGATTGAGTTATAGTAAGTTAAAGTTGTGAGATTGAGTTATAATTTGGTCAAAACTATAATGACCAAATGATTACTTTTCTTAAATTTTAATAATTGAAAGATTTGCAATTGTAATTAATCATCTTATAGGGTCTGCAATTGTTATTTTCCCTTAGTCATTCCATGACAGAAATATAATTATGCAAGAAGTTGATGACGGGAATATTGAAATTATAATAATTATTACAGATGACCTAAAATAATCGGGCCCCTTAAAATCAATTTCAAACAGCCCCGATCCCGTAATACAGTGTCACTTAGGAAAATGAAGAACTGACCACATGAATATGGACAAAAACAAACAACTAACACATGGGTCCCACACACACTCTTTCTCAATCCCACGTCTTCCCTCTTATTCTTCTGTTCAGGACAACAAAATACTTTAAACTAATTTATATTTATAATAAATTAGTTAATGATATTTAAAATTATATATTCATTTTATATTTTTTTGTTTGATATATTGTCTCACTTATAAATTTTTATTAATTACATTCTTAATTAATGATACTTTTAAAAAAATTATGTTAATTATATTTTAAAAGATCCAAAATACCTAATATTTTTAATATAATACTTAAAAAAATGCTTTATAATAATAATTTTTAATTTTAATTTTATTAAATATATCATATTTGAAAATATTTATTTCCTTATATGTAACCTTTTACCCTATTCATAAAAAAATATGAAAGGGACCAATTAAATAAAAAGTAATTAATGATCTATATTTTGTTTTTTATGTAAAGTGATTCATGAAAAGAATCAATAATTATTTTTACAACATGAATTTTATATATAGAGAGAGAGAGAGGATGTGACGAAGAGTGTGTATATATATATATATATATATATTATATAAGTCGGATAGACTTTTCTGACCTATTAAAACACAAACACGTTTCAATTATTAGATATCCCAATTTTATTCTTATTTACATGATTAAGTTTATGAGTTTCATTTGACTTTTTTAAGTGATAATTTTTATTTGACTTTAGATATTTTTCTGAGCTTAGAGTTTTATTTTTTCTTTTTAGTTATTTTTAAATGTATAAACATATAAATGAGATATAAAAAGTGCATAAATTACGATGTTAAGGTAATTGTTCACAGCTCATGAACAATTTATTTTAAACTCTTTATAAATTTTATGATCCATTCTAATAATATATATTTTTGTAATCATAAAAGATTTAACTATAGCTTTTATTTGCATAATTAATATATACTTATCACTTCTTTTCAAAATCTATGTTTTTCTAGAAAAATTATTTTGATTTATTGCACTCCTTCTTATAAAATATGTAAGACATTTTGAACTAAATTTTATCCTCAATAAAGTAGTTACTTACTTTTAAATTAATTTTATTTCTTCATATTTACCCTTATTAAATATCCTACAATAAATATAAAGTCATTATCAATAATGACACTTTTGAAAAAAAAAAGCAATGATTACACATCAAAAGACAAAAAATGTTTTACATTTTAAAAAATTTAACTTCTCAAAAAATGCTTTATATTTTTAAATAAAGAGAATATATCTTCGTTCAAAAAGTTAAAGCAATATTTATCAACATTTTTATAGTATATCATTATTTACTACAGCAATTTCAAAGATTTATCAAGCTTTAGGAACAAATTTGGCAATGCCTTTAATGTTATATTGTATTAATTGCATTTCTTCATCTATCTATACACATTCTTAAAAAACATACTTTATCTGTTAAAAAATATAAGATATTTTTAATTGAATCTCACTCTTAAATAAAGTAGTTACTTGCTTTCAAATTAATTCTATTTTTCTACATTTACCTCTATTTAATAGAGTGTTTCATCCTAAAATAAATATTAAGTAACTTATTTAGTAGAGGCACTTTTGAAAAAAAAATACAATGATTATACTTTAAAAGACTAAAAATGTCTTATATCTTTGAACATCTAACATTTCAAAAATGTATTATATTTTTAAATGAAGGGAGTATATTTTTGTGTAAGTTAACTCAAGACCACTGGTTAAGTTGGACCAACTTCCTTACAAATTGATAAGTGCTTGATAATTAAAAAACATATATTTTAAATTTTAAAATAGAAAAAAATATTTGAGTAGTTGGTTGTCCATAAAGTATTCTATCACAGTCTACTTACATATATAAATAGGCATATAAGTTTTTCCCTAAATTTAAATTTTTTTAATAAATTTTACTGTTATTTAAACAGTATGATTTATTTTTTAAAACTCATGAATTTATTAATATGTTATTAATATTAATACAAAATTTATAATATTTAAAAATAATAAATAAGACCATTTATTTTTGGGAACTCTATTTAATTTGTCAAATTCAAATATTTTGGGATAATTAACAAAATTGAGATTCAAATGTTGACTAAAATAAGCATTTTCAATTTTAGACCCTGATTTGAATCCTCCCGTAGAAGTTGGCCCAAAAAATAAAAGAATCCTCCCCTTCAGCCTGGTCATCCAGCATCCCTTAGCTGACATAATTAAATTTTCACGTACGGTACATATTTGTGTCAAAATCTTTGTCCGCTTCAAATTAAACGAGAAATTATACTTTCCCTTTCTCGGCGGCAACAAAACCAATCATCATTAATGTGACCAAAACTCTGCTTGGTGCTTATGGTGCGGTGGAAGTTCTTGTCCGCTTAATTCCATTATAGTGGAACACAACGCGAGAGATGAGGCTGAATGACACTACCAAGCTTCGCGGAAACAACTACTTTTCGGGCAGTGTTCATATTTTTCTCTTCCATTTTGCTCTCCTGAAACCAACTAGGTTGGGTGGTTTACTGTTCATCTTCTTGTTTTGATGCTTGAGGATGTGGAATTGAGCTGGATTTTTCTATCTTGTGGCTGAGACGAACCCTCTTCTCCACGCGACCCCACTTGTGTATTTTCAGTAGCTGGCAAGAGATCAAGAAACGATTATCACTTTGTTTTTCCCGTTCTTGTTATGGGTCAAACTTGGTTTTCCTGCTCTTTTGATCAAGGTTCTTGGTTATTAATTTGAAATCAGTACATACCTGGTGCTCAAACTGCTTCGGCCTTCTCTGTTGAACTCACAAGTATCTTCGGTTCTGGTTTTGCTGACATGTATTTATTTATGGTCAAAAGCTATTAGTCTGTTTGAACTTTAACGTCGAAGTTTATCTGGATTCTTGAAATTGGTTTTGTTTGTTTATCCATATTGAGTATTGACTTGTTGCAAGTAATATAAATCCGTCAAATCTCCAATTTTGGCCGCCTGTGCAGGTTTTGTTGTTCAATTCGATCAGCGGTTGTACTGAGCATGGATTTCCAATGAAGCAAAGCTGAAAGTCTCGCTCCTAATTTTGCCTTCAGAAGGACAGAGGAAGACGGGCATAACACTAGGTAGCGGATTAAGTCTGATACAATCATACAAATGGCTTCAGGATTAAATGCCAATGAAGACAGTGAAACCAAAGGTAGCATGTGGGTATTGGATCAGAAACTCGACCAACCTATGGATGAAGAGGCAGGAAGGCTCAGAAATATGTACAGAGAAAAAGTAAGTTGCAACTTCTCATTTAAGATTCTGTTGCTCACATGCACACGGTTCGGAATAATTTTCTTGAGGAAACCACGACATGTTACTCTATATTAGATTGCTTGCTACTGCACAAAAGTAAACTACCTGAAGTGGCATAGAACTGTGTATATATATACATATATATATTTTTTTAAATATCTAAACTGTTTTTCACTGTTCCTACACCTTTAAGGTCGTAAAAGTTCCGAGTGAAACTTTATCTCTGCTACCGTTTAAAGGTGAAAGGAAGAAAAGGAAGAAAGATGGCAAAAATTTCTTATATACGCTTCCCAGTGGCGCCCCACTTGGGATTCTGTTAGTTACTTTCTACCATAACAGGAAAAAAAAAAAAATAAACTAAAAGGACCAGTTTGGCGTTGTGATTGCCTTTTTTCCCATTTCCTGCAATATTAATCATGCTCTTATATGGTATGAACACACTGATGATTTTTTATCTACAAGATCACCTTTTTATTCTCATTTTTCATTCGATTAAGTGTACCAACCAAGTCTTGCTCTAGGGTTGGCAAATCTGATCGACAGCCTTTGAGAAGTTAAGGGAAATAAACTTGAAGGCAAGTACCTTTGATGGGCATCCCTGTAGGAGCCCCACTTGAGGGCCTCTAAGCTATCCTTTATCAACAGGGATTGAGGGGAGGCTGGTTTCATGACTCATAATGGTTGTGTCCTCTTCATATGGTCCCTGTAGTAACTTCAACCTTAGGCTCATGCAGCCTTCAAGAGATAGACTAGATACCTTCACTACTCCTCACTTAGGGGCCTGTTAGTAAGAATCTTCTTGTGAAAAGATAGGAACATGGAGTGCTCATGGGCCCACAACTTGAAGGCTAGGTTGTATAGATATGGATACAAGTATCCGATACGATCACGCAAGATACAGGGATACAGCAAATTTTCAAAATTTTAGGATACAGGTATGGGAATATTTATAATATATATTTCAATATTTTATGATATAAGTATGGATATTTTGATTTCTAAACAAGAATTTCTAAAGTAATATAAGGATATTTATAGTAACTAACTAAAATATTAAATGTTTTTTCAAGTTTTTAAGTGATATAGTAAAAAATTATTAGAAAAAAGTCATATACAAATGTTAGAATATAGGATACGTATGCAGAAGTATCCTACAAGTATTGTATCGGATACGTATCGAATATTGATACGTTTACTTTTTTGAAATATCCATGCTTCATAGCGTGGAGGCCTATGAGTAAGAATCTTTGAGTTCTCAATTTTACTTCGCTTGCTTGAAAGAAACTCAAGTACATCCTCAATGTGTATTCAACAAAGAAATTCTGTTTTTTATTTGTCACTTATTGATGGATTTTAACTTAGATCTCCCCATTTGCTTGTACAGATCCAGAAGGAATTTATTATAGCTTGTATTTGAAATTATAACATCTCATTAAATATTGTTAATCTAGTTTTAATTTCTTCAGAAATTTTCTGCGCTGTTGCTTCTGCGGCTTGCATATCAGAGTCTTGGTGTGGTTTATGGAGATTTGGGAACTTCACCTTTGTATGTTTTCTACAATACCTTTCCCCATGGAGTGGAAGATCAGGAGGATGTGATTGGAGCTCTTTCTTTGATTATATACTCTCTTACTCTGGTACCACTCGTCAAATATGTTTTCATTGTATTAAGAGCAAATGACAATGGCCAAGGTATGTATTATTTTGTATATTTTGTTCTTTAAGATACTTAAGATTGGATGAAGGAAAGATTTGCTATTATTTTTGCAACTAGTTGCCATACCAACCAGTTCTGTTTTATACTTTTCAAGGTTATCAATGAACCTTTTTCCTCCCTCGCAAGTCACAAGTTATTCCTCACAAGATATCTATATCTATTTTTTTACATCAGTTATTTTTTTTTTGTCACTGCAAAAAGTTTTTCTGCTTGCCTGAAAATAATCTCTCTCATGCATGTTTTGTTTTGGGAAAATGAAAAAATATCATTATGTTTGTACCTTGAACGGTGCAAACTTTGGGGCATATCTTGGAGTTACTTTTCATTCTTGTAAAAGCATTCTTCTAACTGTGATTCCCCAATGTTCCCTCCAATAAACGGGTCTGAGTTTGTGAAGATACTTTATATTTGATAACTAAATGGATATCTCAATAACTTTGTGTAATTGGCTCTGTTATATCGTATTGGATGTAAGTCACCCATGTCATAGACAGATAAGTCAGTTGGACGCTAATAAACCCCTATGTTTTCTGAACTTACATATTTGTGAAGCAGGTGGAACATTTGCACTTTATTCATTGCTTTGCAGACATGCAAAGATAAAAACAATTCCTAATCAACATCGTACTGATGAGGAGCTAACGACTTATAGTCGGTCTACCATCCATGAAAGGTCATTTGCTGCAAAAACACAGAGATGGTTAGAAGAAAAGGCTTTCAGGAAAAATGCTATTCTTATTCTTGTCCTTGTTGGCACCTGCATGGTTATTGGAGATGGAATTCTTACTCCAGCTATATCTGGTATAACTTTATGTGCAGCTGATCTGGTTTACATTTTTTTTTTAAATTTCTCATTCATTTGTAACTGTCATCTGGCTTTAGATTAGTACTTTATTTACCATTATATATGCTTATATATGTTGTACGTAGATTCACTGACTTTAAAAATCCAAAATCATTGATGGGATGAGGCAAAAATACAGAAGTGATATAACCTATAATTAGTTGGCCAAGATGTGGATGTAGGAACAAGCTTGGGAGGGGCAGAAGGGATTTCCTTTCCGATCATGTCTTTTTGGCCCCTCACTAGCTTTCTCTGAACATCTCAATCTCATGTTATCTTATTTTTCTATTTCTTTTTTGTTGCTTACTAAGAAAATGCCGAGGGGGAAGAGGATCAAATAATAAATTTATTGTCTAAATATAGTTCAAGGAAGAGTTTCAAATATAAGTCAAGGAAGAGCTTCACTATTTTGGAACTCTTAACTCCGTTTGTTGTGCTTTTGGCTAGGAAAGGATGTATCTTCAATGAGAAAGCAAGAGAACCTGAATAAAATTTCACACATTGCTTGTGTTGACTTAGTTCAGCTAATTTGTCTTTCAGATCTTTTAACTTCTATAAAGTTTTAGATTTATTGAGCTTCTAAGCTAAAATATGTTCCTTTCATATTTTTCTAAGAATTACCTTGATGATGAGTTGTTGGGTCCTGGTGTTACCAAGTTTTATTACTTACAAATTATAATAGAGAATTTATATTACGATGGGTTTATATCAAAGAATTTGTTTCCGGTTCCTTTTTTCAATTCATCAATCATTTATAAAGGAGAATTGCTAAAGGCTCTAGAAAAAAAAAAAAAAAAGAATTTGCTGCAATTAGTCTCTTGTTTGTCATCTTGAAAATGTTGAGTTTTTTAAAAAGATACATAACTAGATCTTCTTTTACAGTTTTATCAGCTGCTGGTGGCATTAAGGTAAATCACCCTGACATCCGTAGCGGTATGGTCTTATCCCTAAAAGGGGAACATTTTGTTCTATTCCACCTAATTCCTGCAAGTTCTTGTAGGTTTCCATATGTCATAAGTCCCTAGAGTCTTAATAAACTTTGTTCCATCTGACCTGCAGGTGTAGTTGTGGTGGTTGCTGTTGTAATCCTGGTTGGGTTATTTAGCATGCAACATTATGGTACAGATAGAGTTAGTTGGCTCTTTGCTCCAATTGTCCTTCTTTGGTTTCTCCTGATTGGAAGCATAGGCATTTTCAACATCTGGAAACATGACAGCAGTGTTCTAAAGGCTTTTTATCCTGTTTATATCTATCGGTACTTTAGAAGAGGTGGAACAGATGGTTGGACTTCCCTAGGGGGTATATTGTTGAGCATAACAGGTACATCTATCGCAGCAACCGTTTATTTACTCATTGTACTTTAGAACAGTTAATAAAGTAAATAGTTCTTTTGGATTTGACAACGTCTTATGATTTATTTCAGGGACAGAGGCTCTATTTGCTGACCTATCTCATTTTCCAGTTACAGCTGTACAGCTAGCATTTACTCTACTTGTGTTTCCTTGCCTTCTTTTAGCCTATTCCGGACAAGCTGCTTACCTTATGAATCACTTGGATCATTCCCCGGATGCTTTCTATAAATCTATCCCAGGTTTAGCATATTCTTTAGCCTACCGAAACTTAACATATTTTATGCGTTGTAACATTTAAAATATTGTTAACTAGTGACTAGTGAGTAATTTATATTTTCTTTTTATTACTGAACAAAATAGTGAAATTTTTAGAGACCCGAGTAGTGAACTAGTAATGTCATTTGAATAATTAAGTTGAAAGACATGGCCTAAAGTGCTTGAGCATAAGTTACTTGCAAGGCATGAAATGAGTTGTAAGCACTTTCGTACTCTCAACCATTTCTGTTTGGAGTTGGGGGCATGATTTTGACATTTCTTTATTTGATTTCTGTTAAAACATGTGGTGGGTAGAACTTGGAGGGGGGACGAAGACTGACATACTGTTACGGTTGAAATGGTTTTGAAATATTGTGTATATTGAAATGTCACCAATATTTGTCCTTTTATCTCTGTCGTTTAGGAGGGTATGGCTGGATATATTTAATTCTTTTTGTTCTGCCGTTTATCTAGTCTGTTGTTAGGCTGCTCCTTACACTGACTGTAGCAACCTGATTTATCTGTTTTCTTGCATTTCCTATTGCTGGAAGTCTATGCCTTGCGTCCTATATAAAAGCACCATCTTATATGGTCCCTCCGGTTCCTAGTACAAGGCACCTCTAACTGCCTATACTCCCTCCAATCCTTATTATAAGATATCTCTAATTAGCTCACCGGAATCAAAGAGAGGTGGGTAAGTCATTAATTTTGTCTAAACATAGAATAAACTTCCTTACCCCCATTTAAGTGAAAAATTTTCAAATTTGTATTAATTCTTTCTCATAGTTAATGAGTTTAAATAAGGGTAATGTTAGAAAAATGTAATTAATACCCCATCATATGCCTTATATTAAGGACTAAAAAATCCTTTTAGATGGCGTCTTATAACAGGAATTGGAGTAGTATATGTTGAATTAATATCCAGAAGGAAGCATGTATATATATTTTTTCCCTCAGGCATACTGCAATCTTCTTGTGCAGAATAAAATAAAGGAAAAAATAAGATACTTAGGAAAGACTTGCATTACATCCATTTTTAATAGAGTTGAGATTGTTTAGTTTGAGATACAACTGATGTGGGACTCATAACAAAGATAAACCAATACTGTACCAACAATTAGGAAGGAAGTATGTAATTTGATGATTATTTAATGAGAACTCTATTTATTTGTTAGATATTGACTGTCCTTACTTTTGCAGAAAGAATATATTGGCCAGTATTTATTGTTGCAACAGCAGCAGCTATAGTTGCCAGCCAAGCCACAATATCTGCAACTTATTCAATTATTAAGCAAGCCTGTGCACATGGTTGTTTCCCAAGAGTGAAAGTTATACATACATCAAAGAAATTCCTTGGCCAGATATATGTTCCTGATATTAATTGGATCCTTATGATTCTCTGCATCGCTGTTACAGCTGGGTTTGAAAATCAAATCCAGATTGGAAATGCATATGGTAAATTTTTTCATTGTTATTAGACATGTGTCATATGATTCCTGTTGTAAGATGTGTGCTGCATCTGAATTTTTAACAGAGGATTGATAGTAAGTCCATTGTAGTTATCAAATGACTGAAATGTCAAAATGCCTAAGTTCTTAGTAGTTAGCCCTATGCCTTTTAAGTTATTAACATTCCATCTGGGTCAACTTCTATGCTTTTCTATTACAACAACTCCAACAAGCTTTATTCCACTAGGTGGGGCGGCTACATGGATTATATGACATCATTGTGCTCTATCATTTATTAAATTTTTAGGAATATTATTAATTAAAAGGTTTCGCTCAACAACCTCCAAAAGTGTGCTCTTCGGTCTTCCTCTACCCTTCTTGACAGGGCTCAAAGTCATCTATTTTACTTTCTTTACAGGTGCCTCCCGTAGTCTTCTTTGTACATGTCTGAACCATTTCAAACGATTTTCTACCATTTTTCTTCAATAGGTGCCACATCCACTTTTTTCCATATTCGCTCATTTTGAATTTTGTCTTTACGTGTATATTCACACATTCATATCAACATTCTCATCTTTGCCACTCCAACTTTATGCTTTCGCTGTCCCATCAAAGCTCAAAATTTACTATCATATAAAATTATTGGTCTTATAGCAGTTCAATAAAATTTTCTTTTAAGCTTATTAGGTACCTTACGATTGCAAATAACTTCTATAGCCTTTCTCCAATTAAACCACCTCGCTTGTATCTTATGTGTAATATCTCCGTCAATGTTTCCATTTTGTTGAATAATCGCTTCCAAATATCTAAACTTTTTCATTTGAGGTATGGTTTGATCACCCAATTTCACTCCCAAGTTACTATTTATTGATCCCTTATCAAAATTACAGTGTAAATATTTTGTTTTACTTCTACTTAAATGGAAACCTTTTGACTCCAATGTTTTCCTCCATAACTCAAGTTTACAATTTATTTATTCTCTTGTGTCTGCAATAAGAATTATATCATTCGCAAAAAGCATGTATTTATGAATTTTCTCTTGAATATGCTTAGTCAAAACATCTAACACTAGATCAAACGAATAAGGACTCAAAGATGATCCTTGATGCAATCTAATCTTTATAGAAAAATCTTTTGTTTCACCACTAAGCGTTCTTATACTAGTTGCTGCCCTCTCATAAATATCTTGTATAGCTTGAATATAGGCAACTCGGGCATCCTTCTTTTCAAAAGCCTTCCAAAGTACTTCTCTCAATACACGATCATAAGCTTTTTTTAAATCAATGAAAACCATTTGTAAATCTTTGCCTTTACATTGATACTTTTTCATTAATTCCCTTAGTAGATAAATCACTTCTGTAGTCGCTCTCCCTGGCATGAAGCCAAACTTATTCTTCGAAATCCCAGTTTCCAATCTCAACTTCTACTCAATCACTCTTTCCCATAATTTCATAGTATCACTCATAAGTTTAATTCCTTTGTAGTTAGCATAATTCTGAATATCTCTTTGATTTTTATAAATAGGAACTAAGATGCTTCTCCTCCAATTGTCCGGCATTCTTTTAGATTGTAAGATCTCATTAAATAACTTAGTTAACCACCACACTCCTTCTTCACCCTAACATTTTTACATTTTAGTAGGGATACAATCATGACCATTGGCTCTACCATTTGTTATTTTCTTAAGAGCTTCTCTCACTTTCCAAGCTCGTATTCTTTGATAAAAGACACATTTTGCTCTCTTTCAGAGGTTACTAAATCTTCCAAGTTAATTGACAACCCTCCATCATCATTGAAAAGCTTAAAAAAGTGTGACTCCCATCCGTCTTTAATGTCATTATCTGTGACCAAAACATTTCCCTCTTCATCTTTTATAAACCTCACTTGTTCCAAATCTCTTGATTTTCTTTCCTTACTGTTAGCAATTTTATAAATTTTTCGTTCTGTATCCTTTGTCCCAAGACCATTATAAAATAATTCAAATGTTTTAGAACGAGCTTCATTCACGGCCCTCTTAGTTTTCCTTTTAGCCATACGATACTTTTTCCAATTTTCATCATTATTGCACAAATGAATGGCTTTGAAACACTCCTTATACTTGATTTTTTCCTGTACGCTATCATTCTACCATCAAGACTCTTCATCTCTCGGACCAAAACTTCTTGATTCTCTCAAAACTTATCTTGCAACCTTCTTTACTTTCACAGCCAAGTCTTCCCACAAGGTATTAGCACTTTCTTGACACTCCCAAATTCCTTTGGCCAAGAGATTTCTCTTGAAAATTTCTCTCTTTTCACCTTTTAATTGCCACCATTTAATCCTTGGAGTTATTATTTGTCGACATTTTTGGTTTTTACTCATAACATATACATCAATGACAAGGACCTTTTGTTGTGTCATAACAGCATCCTTAGGAATCACCTTATAATTTTTACAAAGTCTTATATTCGTGTTCCTTACAAAAAAGAAATCAATCTGTGACCTTGAAGCTCCGCTTTTACAAGTGATGAGATGTTCATCCCTTTTCTTGAAACAAGTGTTAGCAATCTTGAAATCATACACCAAAGAGAAATCTAGGGTATGTTGTCCTTCATTATTTAGTTCTCCAAAACCCAAACCACCATGCACTCTCGTATAATGACCTGTCTCCCTCGCGACACGTCCATTAAAGTCTCCTCCAATGAAGATTTTTTCATTATGTGATATGCTTTCAATCAACCCCTCCAAATTTTCTCAAAATAATTCTTTAAGACTAGCTTTTGTTTCAATTTGAGGCGCATAAGCGCTAACAATATTGATAGTCTCCCGTCCAATGATCAATTTTAAGGAAATAATTCTATCCCCAAATCTGTTAACTTTGACCACGTTCTTCTTCTACTCCTTATTGACAATGATACCCACTGCATTGTGTGTGTTTACTTTCCCAATGTACCAGAGTTTTGAAACCTTAAATATCCTTAGCTTGTTTACTAGCCATTTAGTCTCCTGTAGGTACAATATATTAATTTTTTTTTTCAATCATAACTCCTACCACCTCTATAGATTTATCAGTCAAGGTCCCAACATTCCAAGTACCAAGTCTGATCTTGCTCACATGGATTAACTTCTTTAGCCGCGCTCATCCAGAATAACGCAGTAGCCCTTGCTCATTTAACACTACATCCAGACGTTAATGCAGCAGCCCTAACTCACTTATCGCTACACTCGAGCCATGCAGCGTGTTACTTACGGGCAACAACTTAGCATTAGCACAGAAACATCTATTGTCTATATCCATGTGTGATTCAACAAAGTTTTATGTTGGTTGTTGAGGGCCTAACATAACCGTCCTCCTTTATCTAGGCTTAGGATTGGCTATAAAACACAGGCGGATTTTTCTATGCTTTTCTGTTAAATGAAGTGTAAACACACTAGTACCTTGTGATAATGGTTTCATCTTCTGATGCTATGCTTTCTAGTCCACAATGCAATGTTTTGAGGGAGGCATCTGACAAAAAATGCATGAATATCTTTTTTCTTGGACGTTCAAATCACATAAATGTTATTACAATTATAGAGATGCTACTCTAGGAAGTAAAATAAATTGGAATGACCAGACCAAGTCCTTGGCAATGAGGGATTGACTGGTTTCCTGAACACATGCCTAATTCCGTGGTTAGATATTAACAATTTACAATTATTCCTTATATCATCCCAAAGTCCCAGCTAATTAAGCAACTTGAACAAGTTTGAGAAAATAGTGAAGTATTGCATTGACTAGAAAGCAGTAAGCCTTGACCACAACTACACAACATATTATGCTACTTTTCACCCCCTATAAACATGACGTTTTCTAAGATTTGTGATCGTTTATTTATAACTGTTTTCATCTTTATATTCAATGCTACCAGCTTTTATCACAGATGAATGTATCAAAATTGAGAGCCCTGTCTCATTGTTAGCTCAACTAATACTGCATTGCATTAGGGATCTATAGAGTATTGCACCTGCATTTCATTTATTTAAGCAGTTAGTAATTTAGCAACCATTGTAAAACTTGTTGACTCGTATTTCTATTACACTGCTCCTTTTTGTTCCTTTCAGTCTCTTTCAATCAATTGTACAATTGTCATTGTCCCAACAGGTACTGCAGTTGTGCTAGTGATGCTGGTTACAACACTTCTTATGATGTTAATCATGATTTTGGTGTGGCGCTGCCATTGGATTCTTGTTGTCATCTTCACTATCTTATCGTTGATCGTGGAATGCACTTACTTCTCTGCTGTACTTTTCAAAGTGAACCAAGGTGGGTGGGCTCCCCTTGTAATTGCTGGAGCATTTCTTTTAGTTATGTATGTTTGGCACTATGGCACAGTCAAGAGGTACGAGTTTGAAGTGCATAGTAGAGTATCTATGGCATGGATTCTTGGGCTTGGGCCAGGTTTAGGACTTGTTCGTGTCCCGGGGATTGGACTAGTCTACACAGAGCTTGCACGTGGAGTACCTCACATCTTTTCTCACTTCATCACCAACCTACCGGCCATCCATTCTGTAGTTGTATTTGTATGTGTGAAATACCTCCCTGTGTATACTGTCCCTGAAGAAGAGCGATTCCTAGTCAAGCGGATAGGACCGGTGAATTTCCACATGTTTCGATGCGTAGCACGATATGGTTACAAAGACCTGCATAAAAAGGATGACAATTTTGAGAAAAAACTGTTTGATAATCTTTTCATGTTTGTTCGGCTGGAGTCTATGATGGAAGGATTTTCAGACTCAGATGAGGAATACAGTTCATGTGGGCAACAGCAGCAGCAGCAGCAGACAAGGCAAACAACAGATAATGGTCTGGTGAATAACAACAGCAACAACAACACAGCTTCATCTGATATGGATCCAACAATGTCATCAGTGGATTTAATCGTGCCGGCTAGATCTCCATCGCGTGTGACTAACACAGTCAGGTCCTTTGGTCAACAAAGCAGCCAGACTGACGGTGACGAACTCGAGTTCCTGAACAATTGCAGGGATGCTGGAGTGGTTCACATACTAGGGAACACTGTTGTGAGAGCAAGCAGGGATTCAAGATTCTACAAGAAAATTGCTGTGGATTACATATATGCATTCCTCAGGAAGGTTTGCAGGGAGAACAGTGTGATCTTCAATGTGCCCCATGAGAGTCTTCTAAATGTTGGTCAGGTTTTCTATGTATAGATTTAATTAGAGTCCTTAGTCCGTATTACATAATGTTGGGTCAGGCTTTTCTATGTAATTTGTATGGTCTGCCTCTTGCCAAGATAATAAGATGTGCATCTTGTGCACAGTTGGGCCTTGTATGTGTAGTATGAATAAAACCTTTGGGAGAATGACGATTGAAGACCTTTTTAGGAAATTAGTGTAAGATAAAGACCTTTGGGTTGTAAATTTCTGAAGTTCTAGTTGTAAATTTCTGAAATTTCAATTGTAAGAAGTCCTTGATATTTTTTAAAGGTTCTTATTTGTCATTCTCCCTAAAACCTTAGATATTGTTGTCATGTTTCCAACTTGCAAATAAGATTTTATAAATGCTTTTTAACTTTATAAAACCTTATATATGTGTGCATATTATGTTAAGTAAATCCAAATTCGATCAAAACAAGAAATAATGCCAATCTTTATCTTAAAACTTGAAATAACAACTTGTTATTCCCTATGATTAAATTAATCGAGAAATAAAATCTTGATCTGTATGTAATGTAGATACTATGACAAGCCGTGCTTTTATGAACCATAACCATTTTCTAGCCACAACAAAGAACACCAACAGAAAATAAAGTAGCAAGGAAAAATTGAACATAATAAATCAAGAAATAAATAAAAAAATTATATCTTGAAATTGGAAATAAATAAATGAATAAATAAAAGACTACTGTTATTTGATTTCTTTTTCTGTATCATGAATCAATTTAAAACACTATCAGCTTGTTGTATGTATAATCTTGTAGCGACACAAAGGACAAGTATTGTGCTTGTTGAGCCATTTCTTGATGCACTTATGGTGATAGATATGTCACAAGGTTTAGGAATTCGAACTGTGTCTTCCAGAATCTCTTCCAAACATATCGAACACACTGTTGACGCTTCAATTCTAACCTTTTCAAGATTCTCAGTTATCTTCTGATTTTGATGGTTCCCATGATTTATTTCTTCTTCTTCATCGTCTTCTACTTCTTCAAACATGTCTCAAATTCGTTGGCTGATGCATGGACAGAATGATCATTGCCTCGATTATCCAGAAGCAAAACTTGAATTATTTCACGTCCAAAATCTGTACGTTGATTAATTTCAAATATTGATGGCCCAGCTTCCTGAGGTCTAGTTTGATCAGAACTTGACACGTTTGCTTGAGAGTGAGAGCAATGAAATCAAATTTCATAGTTTGAGTGCAGTCACACACACACACACACACACACACACATTAAAAGGAGTTAGTTTCCTTTTAGTTTTAGGAGGAATTTTGAATTTTAATATATTGATTGGATTGGATGTGTTTAAATCATAATTATTTAGTTGAAAGAGTATCTAGATTCTCAGTAGAAAGGATCTTTTAATAAAATTATTATGCAGTTTAAATTAAATAAAGATTTGAAAAATCATAATTTTTGTCTTTTCTCATGGGAAAAAAAAACAAGAAGTTATTGACTAATTTTAAAAGATTTCCTACTGTTTAATTAGTCGAATCTATCTAATCAATTTGATTTTCAAGTAATAATGACTAAAATTGATGTGAAAAAAAGGTAACTTTTTTATTACAGTTATCGAATGTTTAATAATTTGATATCCAAGTTAAATAGATTGAAATCTTAATTAATTATTATTAAACATATTAAATTATAATTTGTAAATAAATTCTCAAATAAAAATCAAGCTAACTTCACATGTTAGTGTTCAAAAGAAATTCAAAATTTTTTAATGGACACAAAAATCAATACAATCTTGATTATAAAAAAAAACCCTCCCTCTTAAATTATAAGACATTTTTAGATAAAATTTTATATATCAATAAATCTCATTAAATATGCTTAACAACTTTATGTTTTAAAAATAAAAATATAAACTTTTAGAAATATCTGTAATTTAATATATTGAAAAGAGAAAGGACAGAAATTAATTATAGAGAGAGAAAGAATAATATTAAAATTAGTGCATTTAATAAAACTTTAATCTATCTAAAGTATCTTATATTTTAGCATAAAAAAATTTCTTTAAAAATACCTTATAATTTGAATGAGGGAATACAATTTTGAAGTTCATGAAGTAACTGTAATTGTACCTTTAACTTAGCAACGCCTAAAAAACTGAGTTTGGCACTCACTGTCACTGGTTTTGAAGTTCCTTGTATTATTAATTAAAATTCAAATTAGTTGATTTAAAAATTTACGGATTTTTTTGGACATAACTTCATTTAAGGTTTAAAATTCAATTTATCCGTTCCCCTCACCATAAGCTTGTGCATAAGCCAGGTGCAGTAATGGTTGACAACCTTACTATTACAAGGCTGATTGAAAATTTAGGGCCAAGCTTAATAAAATGATACATTTTTTATATTTGGATGTATTTAGGCCAGCTTGGATAGACCAAAAAAAAAAAAAAGATCAGATAAACTTGAATAACACTTTATTTTTTAAACACAATAATAATAATAAAATAATTAATTTTAAATTAAAAATTATTTTTTTACTAAAATATTCAACAATTCAAGTATTAGAGCTGGCCCGAATAAGTCCAAAGCTAGATGGTATTCAGTTGGGCTTCACTATATTAGTTTTTTCTTAAAAAATTTAGGCTTATTCAGGTCAACTCAATAAACGCTGCCCATCCAAATTAATTACCTACTCATCCCAAATGTACCTCCAAAAGTGTCTATGGAGATCATATTGCTTATTTCTGCATTTGCCACTAATGAAGCTCTTTATTTAAAAAAGATGTAGGGTAGGCTCTCTTTGTAAAAACATGCGGTCTCAATGTGGAATCTTTAAAACATTTGTTCTTGCGGTGTGACTGGGTAGAAGCAGGAGGTTTAGATGCTATCTCAACCTTATGATTGATCCTCTCAATACTCAAAGTATTAAAGCCTGGCTTTACAATTTGGCAATTTCCTTTGCTCCCCATCGCCTCTTGATATATGATCATGGCAACGCTTATGTTGTTCTTTTCTGTTGTCATATCTGGAAATTTCGATGCAAGATGACATTTGATGAGATGACCCACCAGATCTTGGACGCCTGATAATGATTATTGATGCTGGCTTATTTGAATTTTGGCAGGCTCGTGGTTTGTTTAGTCTAAGGTCTTCAATCCAAAGTAATGCACATGTACATCGCTGAGTCAAGCCCCTCTGATTTTGTTAAGCTCAATTGCAATGGGACTTTTTGTAAGAGGAGTGGCCAAGCTGGGATTGGTATCGTGGCCTGTTACTCAAGTGACTTGTTTCTTTTTGGATGGAGGGAATCTATTAATGACGATTTAGCATTGAGGGCTGAACTTGGTGCTGCTAAAAAACCTTTCATGTGTCTTCCACCGCGTTCGGTTTTGCTGTTCATCAATCGTCATGAGCAATCCAGGCCGTCTAGATGAAAGATATATTAATATTATTTTTATATTTTAATATATATTTATTAAATTATAAAATATAAAATTTTAATAAATCTATTTTATTATTAATTTAAACAATACAGATTTAATTTAGGTGATCCAATTTAATACTAATTTTTTAAAATTTTTATAAATTGACTATCCAGATATACTTTAGATCCAGTCTGTGCAGAGTACATATGTACTGTCTAAAATTTTAAAAAATTAATATTAAATTGAATCATTCAAATTAAATCTGGATTGTTTAAATTGATGATAAAATAAATTTATTAAAATGTTATAATTTTTAATAATAAATATATTAATTTGGATGGTCTAGATGCTCATCACTTGACGAGCACCGAAATCGGACTCTCTTTCAGCTGGCCTAGATTGGAGTACATTGTTGTAACTGATTGCACTAAAGCTTATAAAATGGGAACTTTTGCAAATAAAATCTACATTATAGAATCAAATTAAATAAACAGCTCAACATTTTTTATATTTTGCATTTTGATCAGTTTATTATATTTATTTATGTATATCAATGATAAACTTATTATAAATTTTTAAATTATTAAAGATAACCTCCATATACATATCAATCATAAACTTATTATATATCAATGTGAACCAGCTATACTTTCAAATTTTTTAAAAACTTGATTCATATTTTTTGAGTATAAGATTTTTTTTTGCTAGTGAGCCAATTTATCTTATAAAATTTTTGTAGAAGAAATATGAAAAGTAATTTTGTCATTTTCTTGCATTTAGGTTTGGGCATTTATTTTTAAATAAGATGGGTATTTTTTTTAAACCAGAAGATGCGTATTTGTTTCTTGCTTTTTCTTTTTCTGTGTAAGATGAGCATTTATTTCTCTTAATGTAAATAGATAGTATTTCATTGTCTGTGATAATTGATATCCTTCTGGCCGGCAAAAAAAAAAAAAAAAAAAACTTTCATTGTAATTTGTATACACGTGGCTTCTTCAGATTAAGGCGATTGTGCATTTTATTCCTATAAAAGGGTTTTAGCCTAATAATCATGGAGCATCTAATTCATCACAATGACACAAAAATTCTTGTAAAATTATTAAATGACAGAAAAGTAAATTATGAAATAAAGTAATATTATGAAGTCCCAAGTTATTTTTCTGACATTTTTTTTTTTCATTTTGTGCAATGGCTTTTTTAACCCTTGGTAACTTGAAACTGGAAAGTCAAGTCACACGACAACGGACCATTTTTTTCCCCCTCCTGAAAGATCAAAGACAATGATAAAAATCACGCTTGTGAGCCCAAAAATTTCATATTTTTTGGAATACATTTTTATAATTTTAAATTTAAATATTATTGTAATTATTTTTAATACCACAAACATTTTGCATTACATTTTTAGACATTTAATTAATATATTTTAAATATTACTATTACCAATTAATAATTTTGTTTAAATAAGATAGAAAATATTTTAAAAAATAAACGATCAATGTCATAAAATGCAATCTTTAAGAATAATTTTTTTACTCTAAAATTTATAAAATATTGAACATTTTGTATATCATTGATTTATTTTTAATTTATAATTAGAATGACATCTTTTTATATTTCTTACCCGATTTTATACACTTCAAAGTAAAAAATCAAAATTATTTGGAAGATTAAATTTTAAAAGGGAGAGTGATAGAAAATACCCCAAAATATGGAAATAGCAATTATGAAACATTCTCACTCCACTACTAATAATTAACAAATGAAACTTATGGTAATCAAGGGATTAGCTCAAAAAGTGATTACCCAGAGTTTTAATTTAAAAGTAGGGGATCCTAAGTTTTTTAAATAACAATGAGTTTAAATCAATCAAAATCTTTTATAT